ATAGTTAAATGTCTGCCTATTTTCATTGTTTGCCTTCCCTGGCGATTTAGTGATTGGTGATAGTGACTGCTAAACCAGAAGTCTGGGTCAATCACCCGGTTCTGCTTTTAGTCGCTCATTATTTTCGCTAGTTTTAGTTTTAGTCGCAGTCACAAATGAGTGGTTCTCACGAAACTGCAAGTTACAGTTTGATTATGTAAGCTCTAAAAAAATCAGAACATGGATAATAAATAACACTAAAGCACCTGTATCATGCCGGTAGATTTTGAATTAATTTCTACGTAAGTATCCATTTATTATTATGTATCTTTATCTATACGCTTCCCGATTATAAATATTTTGCGTAATGGACGCACCCATTACGCAAAATATTTATAATCGGGAAGTTTCGAAAATAATTTCAACTCGCAATAAAACTAATAAGAAATACCTACAAGATAACTTAAAAAAGTAATTGAGAGTATTGCGGCGTTCGTAATACCAACTTCAGTTCGAAATTAAATTTTCTTGGAAATTCGTTCCGAGATTATAATTATGTAAAACATCAAAAGTAAATTTGCTTGATTATTTTCGTAAGTACCTACCGTTGTAATTTATTTTAATAGGGGCTCATGGTAAATATAGCGAAATGGCCTTTAGCTGATTTAGGAAGATAGGTAGCTTAGTAGTCTTTTACAGGGTTCCTACTGCATACATATGATGTATGCAGTAGGAACCCTGTAAAAGACAAAAGGCTAAGGTGACAGATGGGTACACTATTTGGTTCAGTAACTCTGTTTCAAAAACGAAACAAGTAAAACAATAACTCACCAATGATTCTAATACGCACACTAATATAAAGCTTTTTCTGTGCGATACGCGTTTAGGCGTGGGATCTTAATACATACCTACATATGCTTTGCAAAATATCGTTTTGAGTACCAAAACGTCTTATAAGAGAATAACCCCGTACAAACATATTCTTGGATTAAAGAAAATACATGAAATACTAATCACCGCAACGTGGTGACTAATGAGGGATTTTAATCATATGGTACAATTTCAGAGCGATGAGTAGGCGCTTCACAAAAATAAACTGGTTTTGCATTCCCGAACATACTTGTACATCAGATTTCAAACTTCGCATAATATATGTAACTAAGTACGAAAATATTTTGCCATTCTTGGAAATGTTAAGAATAAATTAAATTTGTCATACTTTATATTTCAAGTTTAGTTTTATTGAAATATAAAGTACCATTTATATTTCAAGTTTAGTTTTAATTGTTTTAATCTAATTTAATTTATTGAAAATTTGCTCTTTCTGAGTGACTTAGACAACACTTAGGCAAAACTAAGGTTAGTCTAAGTAAAACGTTTATTTTAATATTTTCAATCTGGTTGTCTATATGTAAACCAAGTAGAACATTCTAGGTTAAAATTTGTTTATAAAAATAACATGAGAAGTTTATAAACACTCATTCCAAGGTTATTTGTGGCACAAAATATTTTTTTCTACTCTTAATGCACAAATGAAAATTTCATAATGCAAACTTAATGCCATAGGCATTTTCTGGCAGTCTACCTTAGGGTGGTACAGGTATGTAGTTGCACTAGATAGTACTGTAAATAATTCCATTTTTAAATCAACAAAAGTTTGTTAATGCTTAATTAATTTTTATTGTAATTTGTAACTAATATTCCACAAGTCCAAGTTTCGTTACTGCAACGTAACATTAAACGAATATAATGATTGTGAATCAATGTTTTATTTAAATGTAGCAGTATAATATCTATGCCCTCTGGAAATCCTTACGGCAAAAACAGAGTGAGCTTTGTTTTACAGCAGATGCAAGTAAACACAGCGACCCAACATCTGGCGTATTTTTTTATTTCCATTACTCAAGGGTCCAATTTCGGTGTGCCGATAAAGTTCCTTTTTTATCATTTTACATACGAAAATAAGTAAACACATATGGGTAGTGTTCAGAGACTCTACTAAATAGGTACTATTTGGATTGTGTCAAATACATCATGGTTTTATGGGCCTTGTACTCAACAAACCTATTTCGAAACATTCAATTGCGATTTTCGTTTTGAAATTAATTTTGATTAAATCACATAAAAAATCCATCTTTACACCAATATAAACATAACTTTGCTAGATAATAGATAAGACGTTGTAATGAACTTATAAACATCCCTGGGGCTACCTGTTCTTGCTAATAGCTGTAGAACCAAATTTCCCTTTGTGATACCGAACTCAAACTATTAGTTGTTTTGTGAAACAATAAACATATTTATTTACATAAACGATTATTGAGATACTATATCAGTTTTCAGTCTATTTTTATGTAACACTAATAGTTGTACTTTTGTTTCAAAATAGCCGGTTCTACCATATTTAACTAATATAAGTATTATGCATTTCCAACATTCTTATGTCTTTACTTTCTTCATCTTGAAGTTTTTATTGTTAATCAGAACGACCAAAATATGTAAAATGTAGTAATACAGCTACGCTATCATAGGAATTATTTAGGTCACATTGCGGATCATATTGCTGGCTACAATAAGTGTTAACGAGTATTTAGATAATAGCCTCCCATGTCACAATTCTCATTTTTCGAGTGCCCGACAGACGAGTCGAGATTGAAATTGTAATTCATTCGTACGCGTCATGCACAACTGGCTGCCGTTCATTTCATATTTTGTGATTGTTTGTATTTTATTTCATGTATGTACATTATAGCTGTATTTTTCTTAGTGGTTATAAATACCACATTCTGAGCTTAATGTAGACGAAAACCAAATAGATTAGTTTATCTGACAATATAAGGCATGAACTTCCTCACCCTTTCCTCCTTTCCGTAGGGCCTGTTGCTATTATTGGAAGAAGCTATAATTAACATAGATATAGTGTTACTACCCTGTGCAAAGGGTCCACGTCTCCGGTCATGAATGGGATGTGTGTTTACAAACAGTGACGCTTAGAATGCCGCGCGCCGCGTTGGGTAGGTACGGGCTTCGGTGGCGGACGCAGCACACGCATAAACACTTAAAATTAAAACTGGCCTCACAGCTCCCCTTTTCATGAAGCCATAGTTAGTGTTTCCATATTAATTTTATTTCAGCGGAAAGTCCTACTGAATTTGAGTTTGGATATACTTTTAGGAAAATATCTATCCTAAATATGATACCTATCTATCAGGTTATTTCTTGCAATGTACTACTAACTACTCATTGTAGGTACTCAATCTCGATTGAGATCTGGTCTGTTCTGGAGTCCCTACAGCATTGCCAAGTAGATTAGCGATACATCCAAATGATGAGATGTCTCTACGAAGCCGCCACTATGTCCGTCCAAGTCGGAATCAGCAAAAAAGGCATATATTGTTGCATCGAAGAGTGAGATAAGGGGAGGTCATTGCCCCGAAATTGTTCACAAATACAATAGAAGACATGATCAAGTGGCTGCACTGGAAAGGGAGTGGCATCAATATCAATGGCGAATAAATGTCTCATTTGTGATTTACAGACGACAACATCATCATGGCAGAGACCCTGCAGGACCTACAACAGATGCTGAATGACCTAGCTGACTTACCTGTACGCATCGAACTACAGATGAAATTGGATAAAACCAAGATCATGTTCGATGATCATGCAAACAGAATCGATTGCGGTACACTGTGCCGTTCTCGAAGTTCATTTATAAATATGTATACCTCGGGCAGATATTACAGCTAGATAGAAATAACTTCGATGACGAGATGAATAGAAGAATTCATTTGGGTTGGGCAGCGTTTGAGTCATGTCGCGTCGTGTTTTCTCATCGACGATCAAACAGTGCCTAAAGACAAAAGAGTGCGTCCTACCCGTCATGACAGGACACTTACGATGCGGCTGGTCCACAAACTTAAAGTCGCCCAGCATGTTATTCCTTCCTTTCCTTCCTTTCCTTCCTTTCCTTCATACTCTAAGGGAACATATCAGCAAGCTGAAGTGGCAGTGTGCTGGCCATATTAGCCGCAGAATCGACAACTGTGCGGGTAAACGAGTTCTTGAGTGGAGACCGCGTCTAGGCACACGTAATGTAGGATGCCTACAGGCCAGGTAAAGTGACGATTTGCGCAAGATGGCTGGCAGGAGCTGGATGGAGAAACTGAAAATCGATCGAAGTTGCGTGCAATAGGAGAGGTCTATGACAGCGATGATATGACGATGATGTGGCTAAAAGTAACTACTTAACCCGTTTTTTGCCTTCCATACCAAGTACATGACCTGGTCCCTTTATCTCGATAGCATCACATCTCTTCCCATTAGGATCTTGAATTCTAGTCCGAGAGATCTGATACTGTCTACCGAATTTCCTTATTCCTATTTCCTATTATCTTATGAAAAGAGTTTCATGTCATTAAGATATTTAGGGCACTTTTGGTGCCCTGGGCAGTCTGTTATTGCATTTCCTTTTTTTCGTTTATGTTACTTCTAGAAATGTTATTATCTTGACTTAAAGAAACTTAGTTCGTCAAGTGTTTGCCTATTGAAGGTGGACGCAAAACCGGCGCAATGACCTTACTGATAATGAATATTATAATAGTTGAACCAACTTTAACCAATATATTTGTGTTTATATTCGTTGCGACTTGCGGGTAGGTACCATGAATATTTAATTAACCCTAGGTCTCTTCCATTCTCTTGCTTGGTATTTTCATGTCTCTTGTGTACTTAAATAAATGTTTGTGTTAATAAATTTATGCTCAACATATCGGCTCTACATATTTTCATAATCCAAATAAAGACATACCTAAAAGAATTAGATAAGTACTTATTCTTAACACATATTTTAAACTCAAGGTATGAGGGATTCATCTAGCATCCACAATACATTTTATAATATGCAGTGTAGGGCGATAAATTAAACGATCTTAGCCGCGTAAATTGATAATCTATCAACGTCACCCGCTATACTTATGTATAAATGTATATGTATAAATTATCCAATGGAGATAGGTATAATGACATCGACAACTATTTCAGTATTCATGAATCCATGGTTACAGCGCATCTTAAAGCTTGTATACACGGTACGTTTCCTGTGCGCGCGTGCTAAGAAAGCTTCGCTTCCTCGTGAAAGCGCGCACGTGTGCGGTGGGCGCCTTAAACCCGCGTTCGGTTCCACCTGCGCCCGCGCCGGATCAACGAGATACGATACGAACAACACTCACAGAGCCCGTCGCGCGCCCGGCCAGATGTGTCGTGTATAGTGTGTACAATCGGTGATCTCCTAACATGGGACCCCAGTTTGACTATTGTCTACGAGCCACTAGTGAGTTCAATTTTCATACTATGCTGTGTCCATTTTATTACATAAGTTGAGGATCTGGAAACCGCCTGTGCTCACTTCTCTGTGTAATAAAATCTTTTATAATTTTACTCCAGCTTGAACTTAATAATAAAGGGTAGACGTTTTTATATAAAAAATAGTCAGAAAAATATTTTACTTATTGTAAGTGAAGCAAAAATTGTTGTATAGAGTCATTGGTAGGTGTGTATTTACAAACAAACATATTCATTAGTGGTTTTGTTCGTCGACTTAAGTTGTATTGTCTCCTAATCAAGCATCGCCGTTTATTATTAGGTATCGATAACTTTTGTAACACAGTAGATAGTGTAACGGCAAATCAATATTCAGTCCACTGCGATCGTAATTAACGGTGATCCAAAATTTTATTTCTGCTCTGTCGCTTTCCTTAAAAGTCTGAAACTTCTTATTTCCTGGAACAGGTTTTGGAGATATCTTCTCTTAACTTTTTCCGAGAATTAGCATTGATTCTTATCATAACAGTATCTACATTTACAACTATAAAGTAAAAAGAGGAAGTTCTTAATTCTACTGAATTAAAGTGTATATATTATAAGAGATTATGAATGTAACACGATGTAGAGATAAGAAATTATTGTTAAAAAAAACCTATAATTTGGACAATATAAATACTTTAAGTGTTTTTTGGTAATGAGCTTAATTTGTCCTAATAAAAAATGAATTTTTCACTTTTAGTGAGTATATCAATTCCTGTACAACAAAATTTTCATGACTTTTATTGAATGGAGTTAGGGCTTATTATCTATTTTTATTATCAACATTTTACGATTATACGAGTATATTAATAGCAACAAAAGTAAACAATAGTAATGGTTAAGCTTAAGGATCAATACACCTAATGGTTTTACAATAGACTATTCTTTTCAATCATAATTCATCAATTTCTACTTCACAAATTGATGCTTTTGTTGCAAACGTCAAACTAAAACGCATTAATTAGTGTCAAATACGTCATTACTGGCCAATAATGTAACAATAACAGTGAATAGTATTGTGCGTCCTATTTAGGAGTGGGCCCGCTATTGTCACTCACTTGTTTTTACTTAGCCACATGTGCTTGGGGACATTTCTATATCACCCTACAGCCCTGAATAGATCCAAAACTCCGCATATGCGGGCCTTAAAAAAAAACTCAAAATGTATAAAAACTTCTCGCCTCCCCGCACCATACGTCCGTGAATCTGGGATTTATAAATCTTCATTTAGTATCATTTATCTTGCTTTATTATTATTTATATCCCTTGTTGAGGTTGGTATCAAGCACTTTTTGAGTTGTTGAGTTCTTTTTATGTGAACAAAGATAAAATACTAAATTTGTAATGCTTCTATCTGATTTAGAAATGTATCTTCGTCATCAATATCATAATAAACATATTTGAATTGTCCCATCCCAATTACCCACTAAAATGATAAATGCGCTTTTAAAACGATACTGCAACATTAGTTCATATGTATGTAGGTATATATAATTAAGTATGTTTGTATGTATCGATGCAAAACATTCTTTTAACCTACGATCTATCACAATGATTCTAAAATTTAGGCATCTTTCACACGTCTCTTCATCACCAGACTGGAAGAATATGCCTTAAATGTATATTATATATTTGCAGGCGTAATATCATCTAAAAATGCAATGTTTTTTAAGATACATTTTATTAAAAATATTTCTGTATTCACATTTAGTTCTGACTCTTTGTAAATAGCTGGTAGTACTCCAATAAGTCACCAAGAAACATTTCTACATCTCATTACGGAAGAAAAGACTGAATTGTTCAATAGCAAATAGTTTATTTGGTAGAACTAATGTAAGAGATATATCTATTTGAAGAAAATGTATCTCTGAATATTATCTGTTCTGGTTCAAATGTCTTATCGTTTGAGCATATAGTGAGCTATCTAAATAGGGTAGACAATGGGCAAAAATTGCCTTCAATTCACATTTTCCGGCTTTGAAAAGTAGGTTGGCATATACTTGGCCCGCAGTGGACGTAATGGAGAGCCGTTAGTACATTGGGGTTATTGAATAATTCTCGTGTGCCGCAGTCGTAGAGCACTGGCCATCGCACGACGTCGCATCAAACTCTTCCATGATTCTCGGTATTGGTACTTATCCCGCTGTCTCTATTGTCCATTAGTTCATAAAAAAAAAGTTATATTATCTGTCTTGTCCTTACAGATAACCCATCATATTTCGCGTTGCCGAACAAAGATGTAACAGACAGCGTGGAATCCCAAGCTACATCTGAGCCATGTTCTCGGTCAGCGCCGGGTCGTGTCTGGCCAGACGCCGGACGGCCATTCAGCTCACCGAGACGAAGGGAACCAGAAAGTCCCAGAAGAAAAGAGTTCAGAGCTCTGTTGAGGTCTTTATCTGCAAGGGAGCCAGAACAAGCGGAAGGATTTCTAAAAGGGCATCCAAGACCTGGAGATTGTGCTCCTGGTGACATGAGACATACGTTTACTGCTCCGCGCATCAAGTGAGTTTTCTACTACAAAAAAAAAACAGAAATAAGTATATCATATATTATTTACTTAATACATTAATTTGAGTTTTTATTTTACAGAAAAGGTAAAATAAGTGCGACAGTGGTCACATCAGATGGTCCACAGGAGCGTGAAGAGGTTTTTTACACAATTCCTCTTCAAGGTAGAAGAAGGCATTCAGTTGGTGGATACTTGGCGACTGGTGCCGCAGGGGCGGGTGAAGTTACGTCAGTTCCTAGCGAAGTACCGCGCATGCCTCCGCCGAGATTCAACCAAAAAGAAGAAGATACCATCAAGAGAAGAAGGCCGAAGAACTTTTCTTTTAAAGGTAAAATACTTTTACATTTCAAATAGACTTACTTGTCTTGTAATTATGTATAATCTCATAGTAAATCTAACTGAAGGTATCTTTATCTGCTTCACGTTTTATCTTCATAAAGTAAGATTTATTTGCCGAACGTATATTTACTTAGGGTTTTTGCAATCTATCAAACATCTAATAGATTTGACGGTCCTAAGGATTACATCTGTCAAAAACAAACAGCTTTCGAAAGTTATTTGCGAAGCTTTGAGAATCTTAGATCAATACTTATTACTTTAAAGATGATTTGAAGCAATTAAGCAATTTGGGCTTTTACACACATACCCAGCGCTAGTAACAGTTTTCATATAAATAAAAAAATATATATCTTTGATCAATTAACTTTAAAATAAGGAAGATGTTCTCGATTTGTTGCACTGTAGTATTCTATGGAGGGCTGGCCCAATTAATTTATTAATTTTATGTTTATTAGGGTATACTTTCTAACTAAATGTCTGTATGTTTTTGTCTGGTCTATAGACCAGTTGTCCCATTCCCGTTTGACAAATTCCGTTTTTACAATTTCTTATATATAATTATATTTTTCAATTTCATATATAATTTCAATATATTTTATTACAATACAACAGACGTTCTATCAAAATTTAACTCAATATTTTTTTTATTTTATCGAAACGCTCTTATAGTTTTTACCGAATTTTTTCATGTTCTGGACAATTTTTCTAACTTTTCTATCCTTACAACTTTATTCGGACTATTATTATGATGTTGGCAAGTGCACACGGATTGGATATATAAGCAATATGGTAGTCTCTCTTGCCTCAATTATATTGCACTCCTCACTATACTAAAGTGCTCAGCATAAACGCAGCACCTATAGATTCGATTGTTATCTTCACTGATAAAAGTGTGAGTCGTTTAATCCATCCATGTTCGTGTTGCTTCACTTTTGTTAGAAAGCAATGTTCACTGATACCTCGGAAGGAGAACGGGCGAGGGTTTGTAGTGCCCTTCTGTCCGAGCACCATGTCCTCGGAGAATGATCTCCGAGCACCATGTCCGGTTAATAAATGAGGCCGACCTGCCTTAGCAAAAGCAGACCTGAGACGGTGACACGACATATTTCGCTCGCGTCACACTTAGCTAAAGCCATTCAGCCTTTGTTTTCTCCTTGCAAACAATGGCTGAATGGCTGTCTACAACTTAAGAAGCGACCAAGGTCTGCCAGGGTTTTAGGATACTTCCTTTGTAGATTATATCCGAGTGATATGCGGTAAACTTTGTGATGCAGCTCCTTATCGTTTTAATGCTTCGATTCTGACATACCACTTTACACATTCTGGTTTCCATATGATAATAGGAAAACCAAATAAAGGATATTTAAGTTGTTTAATTGTGTTACGTTTACACGGTAACGTAGATAATTATTTTTTTATTATTTCAAACACCGTAAAGGTGGCCCCCGTATTTTTGAGTTTTATTATTTAAATAAATATTTACAACTGTATCTATATGTTAGTCAAACAAACTGTGCTAGAATCGGTTCTATAAACCAATAAGTCATAAAATATTTTTACCAACGCTAATAAATGTTTTTCTTATTATTCGACTTTGTAATGAAGTATTAGATGATAGGCCATTGTTTTTTATTTAACTTCAACTTTATTTTGTAATATCTTGTATCTTTACATTACATTCTTTGTCCCCCACAACCGGGTTGATGGTTTGACTGGGAAAAAAATACTATTTATTAATTAAGTTAAATAATTTAATCAATTAGTTGAGGCTTTAAGTAAGCCAATTTAACTCACGGATTACAAGCGAAGTGTGTTCTGGGAGGTGGGTATTGCAGGGTGGTTGGTGAAAGTAGATAAAATTCATAATTTCACAATTTCCAACGCTTTTTTCTATTCGAAAGCTTCTGATTATTCTTAACTTATAAAATATAATTAACGTATATCGATTATGGGATTAATCCCGCCCACACGGCCACTACTGTAACTTCTGTATAATAGCATCAACAGCAGTGACCTACCAACAGACTGAGTAATGACACTCGGGAAGTCCCAGGAAAATTTAGAATGTCTACGAACTCGCAACGATATGCATCAAAAGTAAATTAGAGGAGTTGGAAATATAATAAATCCACTTCCGTCTTAACATAGCGGGATATAAAATAAACGTAACCGACCAGAAACCCTCAAAAAAGTTGGATACAAAACATATATTTTTTAAAAGAAAACTTAAATCCTTAAATAATAGTAAAATTGTAGGCAAAAGCCGACGCTTTCAAGAGACAGTAAGATTATGGTATGGGTCCGTAAATTCATGTAAAATATATGTTAGTAGATACACTTTACTCTGAATGTTCGAAGTGCAATGTATAGGATGCTCTGTGTTGTCTGTTAGCATCAACTAAGATTGCTAGTGAATGACCGTTATTTATTCTTTTCGTAGGCATTAACCACTGAATATCACCCCGACGACTTGATGTATCTTTAGGTATTATGAACGGATATCAATAATCAGATATCATGATGGTTAGTGCTATACTGATATAGCAAAAAGCAACGGAACGGAAGTTTTAATAAGATATAAATTGAAGTTACCAATTATTACAACAAATAAAGTCATAAATTAAATAGATTTTTTAATAGTAATTATTGTGTACCCAACTTTTTTACCTTTGTTCTCCAACATTGGTTCTCTTTATGTTAACGTACTTATATTACAAATGGTGAATTGAAGAGCCAGGAATTTGCACTATAGTTAGGTATAAGTTCAATAGAAATAGTAATAAGACGTTTTGAAATACTTTTTAATGAAATACAAATATTTAACTTTGACTTTGAAATAAATTACTGTAACAATTTCGGACGGTAGGACGAAGGTGCACGGTATCTAATGCCGAAAGTAAGTAAGAAAGTAATCTGCATGGTGTATCTTACCCTTTAATAATATCAGACATTCACAGTCAGATAAATAGAGTCCGATCGTGGAGTACCATACACTTTGCAATACTTTTGTTTATAAAATACTAAATCGAACGTTAAAATCTAAATTAATATTATTTATGTGTCTGCATTAAGTTCTGAAACAATATATATATATACATATACCAACACAATATGTCTTAAAGGAAGCGTACGCAGTAAACTCTATTATTAGATAACAATAAAGTAGGTATATTGAAGTGAATAATAATGATAAATGATCGTAAACATGTCAATCGGAACCTGGGTCCGATACCAGAGAACATTGCACCCGAGCTGCCCTCCGACCTCCACTATAGTTGCGCTACATGATACAATACCATCTAGGAAATAACCAAACCCTTACTATTGATATCTTACTTGCCCTTTAATAAAAAATTATCTATTACAATAATGTAATTCAATTACAATTCTTTATCAGACAATAAAAAAGCGCGATGAGATAAAAATTGTATAAAGATGTTGAAAAGCTGCATCATACAACTTCCTTATCAGTACTTATCAGTTTTTGTTCACCGATTATCCATATCTGCCAAACGTGAATAGAATATAATAAAAATGTGTTTAGTGTTGACTGTCTCTTATTTGGTCGTCGATAACGCTTGGGGAATATTTACACACAGACCCAAATTTATTTGGTAAGATTTGGCGTGAGGGGTGGCGATGGAGTTGCGACTTGCGATTATCGATGTCGCGACGAGGTTTTAGTATGCGAAGTGCGTGCGCCTACGCCGCCGCCGCCTGACGCCAGCGCACAGTCGCCGGCCGTGCGGCACATGCTCGTGAACCGACACTACTCCCTGTCACAGTTCTGAGGGCTCTTGTATTAGTTTTGTGCGCTTTCTAGTGCTCCTGTGCAGTAAAGTGCAATGACAGGCGCTTAGTTTGGATTTATCGAACTTTCAACTTTTTTCACTCGTGTTAATATGGAGGATAAAAAAATAGAAACAATGGGCGATGCAAGTGAGTTAAATTTATTATAAATCTTAAATTATTGTGTTTCTTTGCAAAAGTTTTGTGTGGTAAATATTTTGATTATACATTTTTTTAAGTTTATAAATGCATGTTACTTTGAATACTTTTAAAAATTCGAAATTAACGTCATCTAGACAGATGTTTGATTATTTACAACTGTGAAGTTAATTGTCCTTTGTAGTTTGTGACTGTCTATTCAATGGCAACAATATACAAGTAATAAGCAAATATATAGAGTATCCCTAAATACGATGCAATTAATATGTATGTATTTACAAAAAAAGTATGTATGTATTTATATCAGTTGTCTAGTACCCATAGTACAAGCTCTGCTTAGTTTGGGACTAAATGGTGTTGTGTGAATATGTAATAAATAAATGCGGATTAAATGATTATGCTTTCGGCAGTTCCTTGAACTACTGGGTACGTCAAATACATACTCGCATGAGATTACAACATTAATTGCTAATAAGGAACTAAACAATCCGTACCTGATTAAGTTAATATTAATTGCGTGAGCTTTGTATTCGATTTCCAGAAACTTTTATTTTATATTGGTTTACTTCAACGACATACGCATACAAGTAGGTATGTTCAATCAGTTCTGTTATAAGCATTTTCTTAATTATTTACTTGTAAGGTTTATCAGTGGCAATTAAATTAGTCATACAATGACGTAGGTACGTAGCATGGAAACGCGCAAGTTTCTTAATACGCCTAGATAATAAGCCATTGTCTTCGCTATAGACGGCTTCAGCGGCCTTCGCTTTACTGAAGTCGAGAATGTGACACTTTGATCGAAAATGTCCAGCTCCATCCAAAATCAATGTCAAAGAAACACCGTACAACACAACCAAATTAGATTCACCGTTGCCACATAAACGTTTACACAACTGTGAGCTTTGTGGTTAAGTTATTAGAGGGGAAACTTATGTACGACTTTGTAACCGAAGTCACTGCTGTACATTAAATATGCAGGGTGGCATGTATGGCTGAATAAACATAGTGTAATTTACATGCATCGAAGCAACTCCCGTAATGTACTCGCATTGGGAATGTAAATGTGTAAACGTTTTGTATAAGTTGTCTATATCATTTGTACAGGATCGCTCCCACAGATTGTGTTTAATTGATGTACAAGCTACAAACAATTGTTAGGAGACAAAATAAGTTCAAAAATGGGCTGTTTGCGTAGTTTTACATTCATTGAAAAGAAAATAAACTTAATAATAGGACTTTAACTTTAATACTTTTAGAAACTTTGGTTCTGGGTTTTCTCACGTTAATTAAAATGTTTACTTCGGAAACTGTTCAAGTATTTAGATACTCATCTATTAGGAAAATGATTACTGTGAAGACAATTATGTATAATGTAAATGTTTAGTAGCTATGTACATATCTAGTACTTCTTTCAAGATGTCACGTTATCAGTGAGAGAATTGAATTATAACTTTGTTTGTGACGTCTTTAGTCGTTGTGACATACAGGAGACAAGACTGGCTCTTATCACAAACGACGGCATACAAGGCTGTAACTAGTCATTTCTTGGAAGTTGTTTATTTATATTGTAAGGGTCATTATTCCAACGATAGAAACAGATAATTTTAAAACCCCTTTTTGATGAACTTTATTAATAATAATTACGCATAACAACTAAAATTTCGCATTAAACAGATAACAAGAAAACTTTTCAAACGCGCTCGCTTATAAATTATAGTAAATGCTTACTGTGCCGACTAAAAGGGATCAAAAGGAAGTGCTATTTAATTTTTTTAAAGAGTCACTAAGCGGAATTTGTTATTTAAGCCAACACGTGTCCGGCTCTGAATGGTCGGCAGGACCTCAACTCAAATGAGCTTAATAATACTTAGTAGTCGACGATGAGTCAACAATATAATTAAATAATACAAAGTGTTGTCTTATAATTTAAACAGAAAATATGATTTAGCGTCGAAGAACTTGTCAGGACTGAGTCGATGAATAACAGCGTATAGATATTTTTATTTCATGAATCATTCGTTGTCGGCTGGAAAGTAATACTCACTCTTTAACATATTATTTGGTTAATATGTTTAAAATTAACCCCTTTTTGGTCAAACAATAATATCCTGTTATAAATGGGTTATAAACACATCTATCAAAATATAAACACAGATTTGTTAGATACTAAAATTAAATAAACTCGACACAAACTATAGATGAAGCCGTCTGGTTTTATTACTCACACAGTTTCAGAGAACAACGCCTACTAAAATGATCAGTACAATATCGTGCATCTTGCAATTCCTGAAAATGTGATCTCATACTAGTTGAATGTTGAAAATGTTTGGTTTGGGGCAAATTCTAAGAAAAGTCCTATAAACACATGTAGTCGTAGGTAGTTGTCCGCGTCCATTCCTGCTGCGACGTTAAGAATGTCCTATTTTGCAACAATGTACGTCAACTTTCGATATTATTATGTTGCAGTTGGTTTATTTGATCGAAATACAAGAACATTATAGTACATTTAACCCCATCATAACGATTGTTACAAAATGCAATTCGTAACTAAACGAATAAATCAGACAGAAATAAATTACATAAAGAATTTATATGGGTGATTACGAGTGCCAAGTAGGCAATTACGGTTTAATAGCTCAGCATTAAGAATTAATTATGTATTTTCTCGTATGTACTTACTTTGCAAAACTGTACGAGGGAAATAGTAGGTTTACCTATCGAAAAGATACCTGGCGGTCTGGTATCCATTAAGGGCCATCTATAAATTACGTCTCACGTTAAAGGGAAGAAGATCGAAAGCTTCGCCACTTCACATCTAATGTATCAATACGAAAGAAAAACTAATAAAATTCGATCTTGAGACTATATAACTTATTTCGGTGCAATGATGTTGCGTGTTCTTGTTCGATGTAATAATTTTGCAACTTCTGACCTTTTTTAAAAAAAAAATGTGAAAAGGAAAATATGTGAATTCATATTAGGGAGAAGGGGGTCATACAAATATCAGACAGGTCAAGGCTCTAATAACGTGTAATTCGCGTGGCATAATTTATGGATGACCTCTTACAGGCAGCCACAATATTTCACCCGGTACATCAAAGACGTCCGCGACGGCCATTGAACTGAAAACATAAAGCGGTGGAACTGTGAGCACAGCCGACTATGCCCCAAATGCTTGATATGTACTTGTTGTGTTCCACTTTAAAACTTGCGTAAGGTATATTCTACAATGATAAAAATAGGGTTTTAAGTGTAATCTGACGGAAGCAACATTAACAGGGTAAAACCGGGTACTCATGCCTACTTGAATATGATAAGAGGTAAATTTCAAAAGCAAAAAGTACATGGGCACATACGAGTACATGCATAAGGATTACTCTACACATTTTAATCCGTATGAATATATTACTCAAAGATAATGTACACTTCCAATTCTATTTAAGAATCTCTATTTGCTTATCAATCAAACAATTAAAAGAAAAAATGCAGCTCTAATTTGGAACTTGAAGTGCTTCCGTTCTACTTGAGCAGAAAATAGTCGCATAGCAACGCATAACTGCATATCTCGAGAGTCATATTCAGCGCTCGTGTTCTGTTACACCCTGCATTTAATCGGCTATAGTTATTCCGGGCGACGCTGATAGGCGTTTGTCTATTTAGGAAACGGATATTACATTTAGTCGGGTCTTCATTTGGCGGCAGAGGTGGGTAAGTATAAACCCGTACGAGTTTCCGGCGGGCGCGCAGTGCATAGCATATTTTGTAAGCAGCCAATGCGTATGCGTGCCACTGGATGCAATAAAAATTTTAACAGCGAACGTATGTTTTCATTCATGCGAGTTAAGAAAGGAATAAATGTGTTTTGAGGACGGCGTTGAATAGTTCAAAGCTTTCAGACCAAACTAACCTAACAATGTGTAACGAGAGTAAATATATTGATGATCATTGTATGGCGCTGTTTTTGGCCCTTAGTTGAAACTGCACTTAAAAGATATATTCGTTTTATAAAGTTGTCTGCAACGATCATTCTTGTTTGAGCATTTCTGTTCTAAGTATATCCAAGCTCGAATACATTACACTCATTAATCAATATCGGCTGATTGATTTCAAGTGTCTGTACAATTAAGCTGAGGACTAGCACTCTAGATTAATTAATATTACATGCACGATTTGCGTGCTCAATATTTTGTTGTTGTTTTACCCCCTGCGCTTAAAGGCACGATGACTAATTCTCTGGACAAACATTATGCCAAATTTGTAACTAAGGTCCTTTAGTCATAAATTTAGCAACATGCAAAGAGATGTTTATGTAGCATACGATCGTTATCCATGAACTTCGATCCAGCCATTGACCCCCGCCGATATTAAGTGAACGACATCGTTCATGTCTTGATTATCCTTTGACACACAACACTTCCTTTCAATGTTATGCGTTATATTTGATCTCCCTCCTACGGAGACTTATTGATGTCGGCACCAAGATTTTATATTATCAAATAACTATATGAATGCTCATTGTATGTGTATGCGTAATATTTACATAAGTATTGTAAGTAGGTATGTCTTTCAGAGTCTTCCCTTAATTAAGATTAGTTAATATTGTACAGGCAAGTATTGTAGTGAAAGTAGGTAAAGTAGAACTCAGTTTTAGTTTAAGGTTTAATTTTGTATGTAACTATAAATAACATAAAACAAAGACACAACTCCTCCTAAACCGCGCAATAGATTTTGATGCTGTATTTACAATAATTTTGATACTTTTTTAAGGAAGCTTTATATTTATATGTATGTAATTAATTTGAATAATTTATCGTAGTTAGTTTTTTGAAGCAGCAGAAACAAAAATATTTTCCATCCCAGTCGCCTAAGATATGCTTAAAAGTGAAGTACTTACACTCTTGCCTTATATGTATAAGTTTTATCAAAAATTGTACGTACGTGTAAATCTAGGTACGTTACCTTATCATTTATCTGTGTAAATTGTGATCAACTCGAATTACAAGTCAAATACTTGCACAAAATATATTAATTCTAACTTCTAGTTAAAACTAACGTTTCGTGATACTGTTACGTTTCCCTGGAGTAATTTGAAGCCTTTGTTTCAGAAATGGAAGACATTGCGATTCTGTGGAGCTCCGGATCCCCGGAGAGTGCGCTGTGGTCTGACTACTTGGTCGCTAGCTTTGATAAGATTATGTCCCAGAGAGCCAGACATCACTATAGGTAGGTACATATATTTATAAATTTTCAGTATACAGTGCAAGTATTGACGTAATATGCCAAAGAAATATGTATACTACATAATACAGAGAAGGTTAAACGTTGATATACTTACCTAATGTAATAGGATTATTAGAAGCCTTTTAATTATGAAAGATAAATAATTGTTAGTGACTTTGACGCAGAAGCTTCAGTAGGTATATTAAATACATTCAATTCGGTGTCTGCGTGTTCCACTTTTGGTTTCGTTGAGTTTGTTTTTTAAATATTTATAACTTGTTTTTTGAAACAACATTAATAAAAAGGAAAACTCATATCCAGTGTATGCTGGAAGCAGATCCAAATTACTTACTTAAATTTTAAACCTGGAAATTGCATATTTTTTCAGAGTAACTCCAATAATTGCAGAAGAACTTTTAGCCTCAGACTCACAAGAAAAACTAGATAAATTGGCTAAGGCACAGTTACAAATAGTCATTGTATGCCCAATGCTTGCCGCAAAGATGGCGGATTTAAAAAAAGACTTGAACGGTGAGACTCTGTTCAAAGTTGACAAAGTTTTGGTCATGTTGCTTGGTGTGGAGAAGAATCAACTCATTTCAAGTAACTGTAAAGGTTCGTATTGCATTGCATATTGGTTCGTTTTGTAGACCAAAATAGTAAACATCAAATTTAACAGACAAAACATCTTTATTTTGGAGTAACTAATGTTGTTCGATTCATATTGTAAAAAAAATGTGTAAGAATAGACTTGCAACAACCAAAGGTTAATAAATGTTTGTTTTCACAGACTACCCTACAATAGACCAGTGGCAGATGATGTGTGTGCGAGAGAAGGACACTTCCTTCGTAGATACTTTTCTTACAGCTGCCGTCGGGATACTTCGAACAAAAGATTGTAAAGACACAGCTACCGACAGAACTAGCTTCTCTATAGTTCCTAAGAAAGTAAAAATCGTAAGTATTTTTTGGAACTTTTCCAATTTCCGTAACTAGTTCTAAGATTTATAAACCAGTTAAGTGAATATGTTCAATACAAATTAAATGCTTTCTTCGTTTGTACACCACAATGTAAAAATAACACTAAATCAGATAAATCAATCAATTTTATACCTTAACATAATATTTTTGAAAAAACATTCGATATGAGTCGGTACAAATGTGTTAAACTTTAAATCCTATTGTCCAAACAAGTCTTGTATTTATTAATGAATTCTTACACAGGGACAGAGTCGGGTAATAGCGCTCCTTAATGACCCCATTAGAGACGAGGACAGCATAAAAATTATGGTGGACAAGAAAGGCGAGGTCATTAATATAAACAGTTTCAAAAAAAGGAATCCTTACACTCTTCAGTTTGATATTCCCGGTAAGAAAGTTGACGAAGAGTTTTAAGCTTTACCTAACCAATCTCTGCAGTTTCATTAGGGCTTTAAATTTTGTAAGGTTCCCCTTCAGGTAGTAAATAAACTTTAGCTCTTAAAATTACTAGATAAGTGGATTTAATACCAAAAGAAATTGTTGGTCTAATACTGAAGTTAAAATAAAACCGTCATTTTTCTGGCCTATCTAATAAATTTCATGCAAGCTTAGAACCATAGTCCAAATGCAACACCAGAAAACAGTGAGTCAGTGTTTTGATAAATATATATTTTTAGTCAGTAAAGGATTTAGAAAAGCCATATCCCATTTGGACAATATTTTTATTGAATTAATACATGAATATTCAATATATTATTAATATTCAAATTAAGCAAGATTAACTTTTTTACAGAATCCTGTCTGGAAGTTTCAATGCTTGTTTGGGTACGCGTCAGCAAGAACGGTCAGTCACTGGGCCGAAGGCAAATCAAATGTGAAAGTCGACTACGCGAACTGGATCAGTTACTTAGAGCTTCAGATCATCCTCTAGAATTCATGTGCCAGGTAACTATACTTCAATCTTCCATTGTAGTAAAATATCTACATTTTCATGTTATACATTAAACTTATTTCTATTTAAGACTTTGGGTTTCAAAACAACCAGCAAGGAACAACTCGATAGTTGGATGCTAAACGCCTTTCAGAAGAATATACCGCCACATTTCAACCTTCTTGCTTCAACAGAACAGTTTAATCCTAAATCAGATAATTTGACTAGTAAGTGGTTCAAATTCTTTCTCTTAAGGAATATTGTTTTATTAATATTCTGAAACATATTAAATAAACCGAATTACAATTTGAAATATTCAGGTGGAGAGGAATATCCAACTTTACTACACTGGGCAGCAAGATTTGGTTTGGAGAGATTATGTTGGCAGCTCTTAGAGTGTCCTGGAGGTGGTGCAGCTGTTGCTCTACGCAACGTCCGACAAAGAACACCCGCAGACCTTGCTAGAGACCACAAACATTATGCTCTTGCAGATGTACTTGCCGACCATCTTGTAAGTATTTATTTACCCAGCGAGGTTTTTAGATCCAACCAACACAATATGTTCTAACTGTATATGTTTTACTATTTTTTTTTTTAGAAAATAAACGAGTTCTCTAACATGTATTATTATCTTAAAAATATGTCTGACAATGATAAAGACGAAAGCCAAGACGAAGGGAAACGTAACGAACTACGGATTGAAGAAACTTGTGATACTGTTGATTCACCGACGCAAGATCACAAAGATGTGACTGAATCTATTGACCCATTCAGCGAGGCCTGCACTCAGAATTTAGAGAAAAATATCGATACGTTAGAAAGAAAACAACGACCAAGTTTGAAATTGCCAAAAATTAAAGAACAGTTCTACCAGAACGAATTCCCGCATCATGACAATACTGTAGATAGAATTCAACAAGCATTGGAACACGATTATTTAGTTCAACCTTCGAATATTAAAGTAGAAAGCCCTCAGTTTAGACCAAGCAATTTATACGCTAATAGTTCACGACTCATACCGCAACAGTCGGATATTTTCTTGTATTCGCCCACCGAAGAATCAAGGACTTTTACCATTGACACTCCTACTAGTGATATAAGCCAAATAAACTTAAATACCAAAGATATTCGAAGTAGTGGTAGTGTTAAATCTGGCAAAGAGATTTGTCCTTTAACAGGGCAAGAGGAATTAGCTGAAATAATTACAGACTTTAAGAATAATGTATTTACAATATCTGAAGTTGAAAAATTAGTCATGGAATGGAAAAACCGGAATGAGACGCAACAATCACTAAAAGAGAAACAAGAACAACTAAACAAAATGAGAGAAGAATATGATAGAATACAGCAAAAAATTAAGGACAATATGAAAAGACCGACACCGTTCGAGAGAGTAAAGAAAATGTTCTCAAAAAGCAAAAATAAACGTAAGTGTTCCTGAAGACAAAAAAGCATTTTTTTTTAATTAATTTCTGTTACATGTTATTTTGATGTACTCTAGCTTTTTATCTGTTTTAGATCACCACAATGACAACAATAGCGGCACAATTGAAAAACGTAACGGGAACACTAGACCTAACAGTAGCCTAAGTGAAAGTAAGTAAACAATTTTTTTTTTATCATTTAGTGTTTTAACAATACTGTGTATCATATGATATCAAATATCTAAATGTGTGCATAGGTTCATCTTCATCTGGCCGTCTCAGCACAGTCAGTGGAGGGAGTGTAGCTGAAACTAACAGCGTTCAATCTGAAAATGATGAGAAAGCGAGGTCTATTGTAAGTACACATTCACTCTTAAAGTCTTCTCTTACTTGACCTGAGGTTAGGAACCGGACAAATGCTTAAAACTTCCCAACTAAGCATGAAATTATTTGATTTTCCAGATATCATCCAGCACATTAACAATGCATTCAGCATGTGATGGTGAAAATCGAATGGACGATTACTTGATACCGCCTCCTCCTCGACCCCTCAATGGTACATGCCCCCAATTCACTACTTTCGGACACCCTAAAAACGACCATAGTAGTAGGTGAGTAACGACCTTCCCAATATAATATTAAACAAGTCTTAAACGTGTGAAATCTCATCTAAATTCTTCTCAACTCGTTTCTGACATTTCAGAAATCAACACATGGCAACTATCGTGGAGCGTGAAACGTCGGCTTCTCGTGAAACTCTTGATGGCGAAACAGAGTTACACAATGGCACACATTTACGACTAAACTTTGGACCCCGCGACAGATCTACTGCGACAGGTCGCTGCGATGACAGGGATGGTGCTCATATGTACATGAATATATCTGCAACTCATACGTGAATAATTATTTCATACGTATTTTATAATCATATGAGCCTATAAGTGCACAATACACGATGAAATGTTGACATCTAATAAAAATAGACGTGAAGACTTCCTCGTGGGCGTGGTGTAAATTTAAAATTGCGCATAATTTTCGGATATAGTGACTGTGCCAAAGCATAGAATCATGTAATCGCTTCAAATAATAGTAAATCTCTAAGAAGCATAATGTACACGATTGAACGTAAAGTACATTAAACTGAGATTAAACATTGAAATACGACTGCAGGACTATTATCTTTTCAAAGTATCGCACGTAGTATGAATTTTCCATTAAAATGAATGAAGACTGAAATGCTGAATGTAAATATTGTATATAATTTTTAACCATTTACTTCTATTTATTGATGTCGCCGACCTTTAAAGCAGATACGTAATATTATGACTAGTACAAAAATATATTCTTTTTAGTATAATTTTTCAAAATTAGGATAGGTATTGTTTTAAGCGTTGAAGATAATTTAGAGTACCTAAACAAATTAAGGAGTCCGCATTTAAAAGGTCTGCGTGTATGCATATTTTATTTTAATACTTTTGTATTAAATCATCTCCCAGATGCATTTATTGAACATATGTATTAAATTAGAAATGCATTTTTGTCTTTAATTTCCGACTGAACCTCATTTAGAATCGCTTATGTACGAGTACGTACGCAGTGTAGAGCCTTATCGCCATAAAAAAGTTTAATAAGTAAGGCGCGTTCCACCTATTTAATGCCGTGCCACCATAATTAACGTTTAAAAAATATTACGACGATTTCTTCGGTTCGTAATTTATCTAAGTTACTTACAATAGTCTAATTTGAACTGCGATCACACTTAAAAAAATATTATTTTTCCCGATGCAGGGACGTAGTTATACAGGAGTTATCCTGGAAGTTCACCATGCGTTGTGAAGAGCAAAAATTGCTTCTACTGTCCATTTTTTTTTAGCAGTTTATAAAATGTAGCCGTTCCAGTTTTTTAAATTTTATCTGTATTACATATAATGCGTTCTTAGAAAAATATATAGATTATCTTTTTCTATTGAGAACCTATTTATAACCCTTATTACATGTTCTCCGAATTCTTTGACAGATTTTATAACAGAATAAGTTGTTTAAACTTATTCTGTTATTTACTTATTTGTGAAGATAATCATCTCCGTTTCCGACGGGTTCACTGTCAAGTTCAGTTCAAGTGTTGCACACCACCGTTGAATGACCCTCAGTGCGGATCTCAATTAATCGCATATGACACTCTCTAAGGGACCGCTGATGACAGAATAAGTTGTTTAAACATATTCTGTTATTTTATTTTATTTATAGTTATTTAAGCTTCTCTTATACGTAATAAAAAAAACGACGGGATGTATTTATTGCATATTCAAAAATCGATCTTAACTATTTCTAAATTATTATAAAAGGCTTCTTGTCTATAGTGAAGGAATAGTTATTATTCCATTAATTGGTCCAATAATTTGGCGTGCAAGCCTTCACAGTTGTGCCACAGACCCGATTGTTTGAGTCTTATGGTCGCCATGGTCGCCTCTTTCTGTACGAACAGGTCCAGTGGAGTTAACCCATGAGCCACCTCGAGAGCGGCTGTTGGTGTTGTGCGCATAGAACCAGTGACTGCGAAGCAAGGAAGTCGTTGGAATTGCTGCAGTTTGTTTATGACGGTGCTTAGCTCCTTTCTCTGCCACCAGGCAATAGCACCATATATTATGTAATTATTGGTCGTAAGACATCTTTGGTGATAATCCCCAGCTTTTGCCAAGTAGCCTTTTGCATTGGCCGAAGACGATGCAGGCCTTGTTCAGTTTTTCTTCGAGGTGCATTCTATAGAAGTTTATTGCCATGTATGACACCTAGGTATTTCAACTCCTTGGAAAGACTAAGTTGGGTTCCAAATAGTTTGGGAAGTCTAAGATCTCCTAGACTATGCTTATTTGTGAAGATAATCATATCCGTTTCCGACGGGTTCACTGTCAAGTTCAGTTCAAGTGTTGCCCACCACCGTTGAATGACCCTAAGTGCGGATCTCAATTAATCGCATATGACACTCTCTAAGGGACCGCTGATGAGGATGGTTAGGTCACCTGTATAGCCTACTGTAAGGAATCAGCGGTCGTTGACTTATAAGTTCATTCACTACAATGTTCCATATAAGGGGGGAGAGTACACCGCCCTGAAGGCATCCTATAGCCACCACACCCCTAGTTACGTTGCTCACAGTAAAAGTCACAAGTGCGTTGCCGCCCTAAGAGTCCCTCCTGCTCGAGTCAGCAGGAGAGGGATTTGGGCTTCGGTAACCTCACTCACTCAGTGAAAGGCAACAAAAGAATTGCTTAACACAGGTTTTCTGTGAGGCCGTGGTATCACTCCGGTCGAGCCGGCCCATTCGTGCCGAAGCATGGCTCTCCCACGGCTAACATTGTGGGATCGAATCTATGTGTCGACATGGTTCGGCTTATGCTAGTGAAATTGGTTTTATCAAAGGCACCTTTGATGTCGATGAAGGTGCCCAGAGTTGACCTTTTACAGAGCAGACTTTGGTATAGGTACCATCAGGCTTTTTCAGTGAGCCGAGATTTTGTTCGCTTCTACTACATAGTATGGTTTTGACTACGCTATTAATAATAATTAATTTCAATTCTTATCTAACTATAATGTTATACATGGGTACGCCCAATGTGGCTTCTAGCATCCCCCCCCCCCTACTCATAACCTCATAGTCATCCAAACCAACCTCCAGCATAGTCACGCACTCGCTAATGTGAGTTCGATGATACACTCGGCTCTGGGTGTAACAAATGTCGGATCTGAGCCACTATTAATTATGTTCAGTTTTGTTATACGTGATGCGCATTGGTGTCAGCAGAGACGATCAGCTGTAGTCCCTCATGCTCGCAGTGACGTGTCAGCGCCGCCAACTCCGAAGTGGGAATGTCAGCATCGCCCGGTAGGTAGGTTGATGCCATCACCACGTCGAACAGGCCATAGGAGAGTTCCTTTAAAGTAATGGTGGTAAGTTCTCTAAAACAGAACTCCTCCAATGGTGTTTAGACCACAGATCCTGCCATTCCTTATCCACAGCTCCTGGATTAGGGCTATGGTCTTGGCGTTAACCAAGACGGCAACGGCTAACCAGATACAGATCAAAAGCAAATAAGCGAACTGCGAATCTATTTTTTACGATTACACACACACACACACACACACACACACACACATCACATCAACAGCCTTTAATAGTCCACTGCTGGACATAGGCCTACTATACCACACTGGCCAGACGGGTTGGTATAGGGTTTGTTTCCTGTAGTTTGCTCCCTTAGTCGGCTCTTACGACACCCACGGGATGAATTGGGGTGGTGACACTCTGTATTCTTAATCCGTCACCACACGGCTCGTACCCGTGCACACCACGTGCCCTTCAGGTGTACTCAACCCTAACGGGTTTTATCGACACAAGCCCTGAAGATTTTTTACGAGCGTCGGTTACATTAAACATGGCGTTTATATAATATATAATAGCCCCTTATACCAAAGCAAGAGATTACACAGGTTCATTTTCATGTTACATGATTTTAGTTACACTATGTCTCTTAATTCGGTGTGCCTTTTGGCATAGGCCTCCTCCAACGATTTCCATTGTTGTCTGTCCTGAGCAACCCTTCTCCACATTGGTCCCACTGTCAACTTGATCTCATCTTCCCATCTTATGTTTTGCCTTCCTCGGCTTCTGCGTCCATCCCTTGGGTACCATTCTGTAACAGCTTTGCTCCATTTCCCTTTATTTTCCCGCATCATGTGACCTACCCATCTCCATTTCTGCTGATCGATTCGATTCAATACGTCGGTGAGTTTAGTTTTTAGACGCAGGTCCATATTTCTCACTTTATCCTGTCGTTTACATCCTGTCATGCTCCTTTCCATTGCTCTTTGGGCTATGGCAAGCTTTTCCCTTAATATTTTAGTAAGGGCCCATGTTTCGCAGCCGTATGTTAAGCATGGTAGGATACATGAGTTGAAGGTCTTTCTCTTCAGTGAGCGACCAGTATTTCCTCCATCCAGTAGCGATCCTAAAGTTGATTTCTTTTGTCATTTGATCTTTGGTTGAGATGACTTGACCCAAATAAGTATAATCTTCCACATACTCCAATAGTTCCTTATTAATGCTGATGTTGGTTTTTCGGGAGTTGTCATTAATTTTGTCTTAGTAGTGTTCAATTTTAGTTCGACTTTTATACTTTCTTCTCTTAGATTTTGTATCATATATTCTAGCTTTTTGGGGCATTCTTCTAGTAGCACTAGGTCGTCGGCGAATCTTAGATGGTGCATTCTAGATCCGTTTATACTAATGCCATATTCTTCCCAGGTTAGTTTACGGAATAAATTTTCCAGTACTGCAGAAAACAATTATGGGGAAAGTGGTTCCCCTTGTCTCACACCTCTTTGTATTTGAAATTCGCTTCCCAATGTCTCTAGCCGAATCCTAGCTTTGATATTGGAGTATATGCATTTTATAATTTTGATATATATGGTTGGTATTCCTTGGTGTTCTAGGCTTTCCCAAATATACTCGTGACTCAAGCTATCAAAGGCCTTGGTACACCAATCTAGCCAGTCTAGTCTATAAAGGCTATGAATATATCCTTATTGTACTCGTAGTATTTGTTTAACAGTATGTATATGGTCAATGGTTGAAAATCCCTTTCTAAATCCTGCCTGCTCGACTGGTTGTTGTTCATCTAATTTTAAGCTGATTCTGTCTAGTATTATCTTTGAGAAGACTTTGTATACATTGGATGTTAGACAAATAGGTCTATAGTTTTCTATGTCTTCTTTGTCTCCTTTCTTATATGTATAATAAGATGATGTGAGATTCTGACCATTGCCTAGGAATATTGCCAGTTATTAGAATGTCGTTGAAGATTCTTGTACTCGTAAGAATGGGCACCAATTCTTCTATAGC